TTTTTTTTTTTGAAATTTTTATAAAATTGAAGTTGTATTTTTTTAACTTTTTTAAAATCAAATTTGGTATTTATAGTGAAAAAAAAATCAATTTTTTTTACCCGGATCGACCCCGGTAAATAGCAAAATTTAAAATTAAATATGTAAAAAGACACACTTTATGTATTTTTCCATTTTTATTAAAAACACTCCTTAATTGTTGTATAAAAATAGAGGTCAAATTTCGTCAATCAGATATTATATTTGATTTCCCATGAAAATTAATTTTTGCATCTTCATAATTATAAAGATTTATTTTTAAATCTTTTCCTCATGAAATTTAGTTTTAAAAAAGTTAAAAAAATACAACTTCAATTTTAAAAAAAAATTCGAAAAAAAAAAAATTCACGGGTGAACAGTACAGATCGCCCCCGGGCGAGGTCAAACACGGTCAACGAGGTGAACAGTAATTTCGACTTTTGAGGAATTTTTTTTTTTTTTAATTTTTTAAGGGGATTGCCCCCATTATGTACCGGGGCGATCCGGGTGGTTATTTTGGCAAAACCTCTAAAATGTGGTTATTTTGTGGCAAAGGGTTGTGTAAAACGGTTATTTTTATAAATTTCCCTTATTTTTATTGTTATTTATTATTTAAAGTATTGACCCCTTTGATATGTCGGTTATGTAATACTTCTTGCAAAGATGATGATAATATCATCTTTAAAAAGAATGTTATAGATTAAAATTTAAAGTTTTCTTCTACACAAATCTTAGGAATATGTGTGTGGTAACTATTCATTGACATTATAAGTTTTTAATATAAGTTGACAAATAATCTTATAAATGTATGCTAATTTAAAATCTCTAACTATACTCGAAAAACGATGTTGCAATGTACTCTACAAATGTTTGACAAATGTAAGTAGTTTGTTTAACTTGAAACCACAATTTTAATTGAAATCTCATCTAAGCTGACAAAATCACAATTTTAATTTTTATAACAAATTTAATTGAAATCTCATTTGAAGTTATAAAAAAAACATTCTATAATATTAGTAAAAATTTGAGCGGTGCGTAAGTTGTAGAAACAGTATTGGAAGCTCAAGACGATGCATGAAAATACACATCACCAAACTAAGATAATGGATGTTCCCCCATAAAACAATAAAATTAATATCAAGAGGGGTCAATGACCCAAATGTCAGATATTAAACTGATAAGAACAAATACTACACTTTACCATAACATTTTATAATATTTGAAATTTAAATTAAGGAGGTGTGTCAAGCCTTGATAGTGGTAACACCAATACGATGGATAAATAACTACATCACAAAGTAGTATAATGGGCATTCTCTTATAAAATTATAAAATACCAAGTAAGCTGAATAAACATATATTAGATATCAAACTAAGAACATATAATATATTTGATTTAAACAAAAAACCAACTGATCTAAAAGAATTTTTAATATGAATAGAAATTTTGCAAAAATAGAGGAAAGTTAAAAATGAACCAATTATATTACTTAATACAAAAATATTCCTGTAAATTATGTATATAAACATTTTTTTCGCAAAAAAAGGGTGGGCCAAATTAAGTCAACCTCTGGCATAAAAGTACTCACTCTCATTTCATATATTTACTCCCTACTTCCAATTGGGAGAGGTTAGGGGAGTGCTAATGGCACCCCTTGAGAGCATCCACACACGCTTTTCAAAACAATTGCAAAAGCAATTGCAGAAAATCAATTTGGTGCCACATAGGATTTCTCTTGCAATTTTTGCAATTGTGTTTGCAAGCCACGTGGACATCCATTAACATTGAAATATAATATGTAAAACAATTAATTTTATAAATTAATAATGTTAATATTTTAATTACATTAATTATATAATAAATTAAATTATTTTATATGTAATATTTTTAATTCAATAAATGTTGTGTTTTGATATGATTTAATAAATTAATGTTTCAAATTTAAAACAATAAATTATATAATTATATCATATATTAGTCGTTTTAATTAACATTTAATTAAAATAAAACATGTTATTAATTAAAATATGTA